TAGAATATTAGAACTCTAGTTGTAGAATACTAGAACTCTAGTTGTATAAAATTAGAACTCTAGTAATAGAATATTAGAACTCTAGTTGTAGAATATTAGAACTCTAGTTGTAGAATACTAGAACTCAAGTTGTATAATATTAGACTTCTATTAATAGAATATTAGAACTCCAGTTGTAGAATACTAGAACTCTAGTTGTATAATATTAGAACTCTAGTTGTAGACTAGAAGACCTCTAGTAATAGAATATTAGAACTCTAGTTGTATAATATTAGAACTCAAGTTGCAAAATGGTAGAACTCTGAAAAAAATCTTTTTAGATAATCTTGTGAAGAATGAAGTTAGATACAGTTGCGAAGTGGAAAAGTGTGGAAAATGGGAGATAGCTCCTGTGAAATGTCAGCACTGTTCCATGCAGGTTAATTTTAATATATTGATAAATTAATAAAGAGTACTAAGTTATTACAGTCAGGGTCTTTCATTTCAATATAGGCATTAAACAGTAAGCATTAGCAGTGAAGATGATAGACAGGAATTTGGAAACGGTTCATACCTCAAAGTTGTTGTTTTTTCGCAAAAAAAAATTAAAATTTGAATGTAAATTAAGCAATTTCATTAATTGATGTGAAGTAGATACACCACTGCTGTAAAGTTTTCCTACTAAACTTTGAGAATAATTCTCTTAGTAATTACCTATGAATCTAGAAATTAGATTTTATTTTCTTATTCGCCATTCACTTCAATTATATGTTAACTCCAACAGAGATTACAACTTTATATATATATATATTTATAGATTCATGTATTCTTTTATACTTTCAAGCTTCAATAATCCTGTTTTGCTTTATACCTGGATTTATGTATTTTTTAAAACTGAAGTAAACACTTCTGTGTAAAATCTCTGCTCATGAGTTTTCAGATTTTTCTGAATTTCGATTTAAAAGATTTATTTTGGTCCAGGTTCCTTTGATGTTCAAAACAAACTTTGCACCCTATAAATCTTAATATTTGCTTTTATAGTATATTTCATATTAAATTGAATTCTAAAGTTTAAAAGTTTTCAATTATGCTTTGGACTGAGGAAACTACACAGTATATTCTTATACGACTTATTTTATAGCATAAATTCTCCAGGACAAAATTTAAAATCACAGATTGTATCTGAATTCTGAACGATAAATCTGCTTTTTCTCCGGCCACAGTTATCGTTAAAAATTCTATTTAAAAAGTTTACTTAAGAATCATTGAGAGTTAAAATTTTCAAGTTGGACATGTTTAATATTACTTCATAGCAGATTTTTAGTTCTAGACTTTGAGTTCAGAAATATTCTAAACTAGGCTTTTAATTGTGGCTTTATCTCTGAACATCTTCTCTTTGTACAGTATAAAATAAAAACAAAAAAGTTTGCGGATTTTATAATATTTTTTTGGGCAATTTCAAAATTTTTCAAAAATAAAAAACTTTTAAACATAATTTTTTTTAATTTTGATCATTCATAAACCTTCCCTGGGGTCACGTAAGGTCCCACAAAAAATTTGGGTCCGATCAGTTCAGCCGTTTTGACGTTTATTGGATACAAACAAACAGACAGACAAGCCCAATTTATATATAGATTTAATAAACTGCAAGTTTTAATTCAATCCTTGTAGACATTTGAGAAGTAAAGTTTTTAAAATATATAGTAGTTGAAGGAATCCATATATCTTGTCCTTGTTCCATATTCTATATTCTCAAGAGTAATTATTAAAGTTACTTCTTAGTTAGAAGGGTAATATTTCTGCTAGAACTATGTAATACACATAGTGTACAGTACACAATTACACCGATATTCTTCGGACATTCTACCAGATATTTTTCCATACAGAGCATCCCACATCATAATAGATTATCTTCTTAGAACGCTGAAATACGCACATAATATGTGTTTTCTGCATGCAAATTTTTATATTTGGCTTATTACATTTTTTAAAATGATTCATTCTTTTTCATTTTCTGATTAGTCCCGAAAATCGCAATTAAGAGCCATATACATTATACAATCTGGAATGATTTGGGACACCCAATGCATGTTGGGTAATGTAAAAGCAATTGTTTGCACTGCATTTACAGCCTAGCGTTGAATTACAAAATACAATTTGAAATTGTAATGTATTAACTCTGCAGCTACCTAGTTCTAACGGTTTTTTTTTCTCAAGAACAGTTTACAAATTTGAAAATGTCTTTTAAGAAATGAGTCTTGATGTTGTACTTTGCGGGAGGACTTTTTTCTTTGCATGATTAAAAATTCAAAATTAGTACATAATTTTAGTGATATCTTTTCAATACCTTCACTTTAATCCTCCCTTCTCCCTCCTACGCCTGTAATTGTGAAGTTGTTTTTTTACTTTCACCTATTTGAAATTATACATAGTACATACACACAAAATCCCAAATGTTTCATTTACAAAAATAATTTATCTAACCTTAACACTGAGAAAAAGTTACTGAGGACCAAAAATAAATCTGTCAAAATAATTACGATGTTATTACAATATTCGTAGATTTTTATCAATGTTTCTTTACGTTGTACCATCCGTCATCCATTAATATGATAACACAAAGTTTTACATTTAGAATTAAGTAACTTTAACTTTTTTTAACGAATAAATACTTTATCTATATGTATTGTATAAGACACAAAATTATTTTAAATCGACGAAATTTACTAAAATATGTGTATATTCAGAAAGTTGTGAATCCCTTAAAAACAAGAGGAAAGATCTGAAAAACTCAATATCGTTATTTTCATTTATTTGTTTAAATTTACATATTCAATACCCAACCATTAAACTTATCTCCTGTTGTAAGGTCTGCTTAAACCATCGGTATCAGGATACTCACAGCTGTCCCAAGCTCGACAAGAAATCTGGTCTCATGCTGAACACTAAAGCACATGTAGAATCCATCCTAGCAAACAAAACTACTAAAACAGGAATTTACATTATCCTTCTATTTTCCTATGGTGAAATATAATTTCTACGCCAAGGGCCTTAGCAATTTTATGAAATTATCTGAAATATCAAAGTTCTAGAAGATTGTGTTTCAAAGATGCAAGCATTAAAATTTATTTTGTGGCAAAAACTTAGTTTCTTTACGAATTTTCCACGTGACAAATGTATGTATATTTCTAAAAGTATTCTTTAAGACAATCCCACTTTTTTTCTGCTTCTTGCTATTCTTTGGATAAAAAGAAACTGTTGAGTAGAGATTATAACGCCACGAAGTAAAGCAGCGCAGAAGACAGCTGCCAAAGTTCAGCTGATGAAACTCAAAATGAAGTCTAAAGGACAAACTAGTTTACCAGACTCAGAGAAGATCTATTTCCTTGTTCACCCTCCAAAGGTACTTAACTTTTCAATCAATATTTTATCAATTGTCGTTCAGTTTGGACTGGCGCTCGTATCCGTCAAGCGAATCCTTTCATCTCCCCGCTTCGGGACTAATTTGATTTCGATTTGATGTTGTTTTTTATCAGAATATTTGAAGAAAAATTAACAATATTCCATTTTTTCTCTTTTCGAATTCAGAGTTCTTTCTTTTTCTAGCTAAATCATTTTTTCTCTAGGAGAGTCAGAAGCCTGCAATTGGTTGTATTGTCGGAAAAGAGTGGAGTCTAGGGAGAATTATTGACGCTTTAGGAATAATATTATTATTTAGATTCAAATGTGATGATCGCTTGACTTAGTAACAGAGGTTTTTAAGTTTGGTTACTTAACTGACTGTAAGCGTAATTTCAAGGGACCCTCCATGCAAAAATAACAATGCTCGATTTACAACGGTATCGTTGAAAGTTTTGTTTAACCAAGTAGGAATTATATATTAATGTTTATAATATTAAAAACTGCTTATTTTCAATTGTGGTTTATCTACAAAAGTTACTTGCGCATGTCTACTGCAGAAAGCATATAGGAATTATCAGGATTTAACACTTTTTAACTGTAGAAAAACTAATTCCATATTATTGATCAGATAAAGGTTTGAAGGGTACCGTTGTGAATCGGACATTGCCATCGAGGGTCACTTGAAATTACGCTTACAGTCCCTTTAAATTAGATATTATCTTTCTAGCTGAATTGACTGGAACTAGAAATGAGAATAATGTGACGGGGGCAAGAAAACTAAGATTATTCAGGAAAATTATCTTATTATTGCTCTTTTTTGCAGAAACATTTCAGTTCAATGTGAAATTGTAAATTGCTAATATATTCATAGACAAAAAAATAAACATAGATAGCTTATGTACGCAAAATCACCAAGAATTGTACAGTCCGCGAACTCACGCTTCTTAGGGGTCTAAGTGTACTTCAATGATAAGCGGGGTGGTTTGGTGTTTTAATGGATTTCATAATAGAGTGTAAAATAACTCCGGGAATGGAACTTTTTGAACAACAATATTTCACTGAAGAAGGACATGAGAAGGACTATACTAACTTAAATTTTTCTCTACAGAACTCATGTACACCACAATTACTCAATGACATAAGAAAAGCCAATGTTCACAACCGAACTAGTAAATCTATATAATAAGAATATCTTTAAAACATCTCTGTACATTTATATCTTTAAAGATGAAAAATGTCGTCTTATGCGCAATCAATCTTTATTTATGAATATATTTTAAAAATATTTTTGTTTTTGAATTCTATAATTTTTAAGTTTCATATTTTATTCTTAAACTTAAATCTTATTTCTAATGATAAGTGGAAAAGTAAGAAATGGTTTAGGAAAGATGGAGAACTTGTGGTGGGAAGCTCGGAGCTATCAACCAAACTTTCTACTTTGCTGGATTCAGAAACCTTGTTTAACGGAGACACAATCCATCTTGATTTTGAAACTTGACAATATATGAGAAATTTTTAACTAATAAAACCTTTCAAAATATGCAAATCTGTTTCAGAAAAATGTAGGTTTTAAAATGGTTCGTGCTCTTCCAAGAGTTATTTCTCCACCTAGTGCATCCAACCTTGCTCCTATTTTGTTGAACCCTGACACTTCTCAGGGCGTAACTGACTCACCTAGTCCTGTTTCATACAACACTATTAATTCCCAAGATACAACCATCTCATACTGTCCTGTTCCAGGTAAATCATCCTCTCCGACATATGATGCCCAAGGGTGTCAATCGTCCGACGATCCTGAAGGATCTTCCAGCATTAATGAATACTCAGATGAATCTACCCTTAATATTGAACAGATCCTCAACCTCACGGAGAAATCTCTCGATATTGAATCTCAGAATATCTTAATTGTTACAGAGTCGCTTGAAGAAAAAAATCGGGCTTCAGCGCCAGATGAGAAGGATGTTGAAGGTTCAGAGGATGAGAAATGGCATGATGAGGGTTTAGTGGGGGAAACTAATCTAGGTGTACTACCAGACTTTAACTCTCTTCTTCAATTAAATCCATCAACAACTTCTTCATCTTCTTCGAATTCGTCTGTTTATTCCCCGCTTATTCTTGAACAGTTTTCCTCTCCTAGCCTGGGTTCAGCTTCATCCTATAAATTACCACTAACCCTTGGTTATATTCAACCAAGAGAGTTTAAGAAGAAAGCTAAGTCTTTTCCAGAATACAGTGATCTTCAGTCTTCCAGTTCCTTTACAGGTATTGCATTAAAACATTCATCGTCTAATTATAAATGTAAAATGTCCCAAATGTAGATGTATTAAAAATTGGGTTTTCGATAATAAGTAAACTTTAAAATCACCATATTTTATGAGGAGAATAATTAGCAACAAAAAAATTGTTTATTGCCTATATCTATCAAAATTGAACAAAATGTTTAGGTTTTCTCAGATCTAAGGTTTTAATGCAGAACACAATAAATCTTCCAATCTGTGATCTACAATTACTAATAAGGAATTATTTCTGTTCTTAAATAACCCATCACAGTACAATCCTCCCACTTAATAACTGAAGGGAATGGAGACGTTATTTAAAATGATCCTCCGATGCATTTCTGAAAAAAAATCAGATATCATAATTGTTTAGCTGAAAATTTATTATTTTCGAGTATGGTTTCTCCGCTTAAGTGACTTGCAGATTTATGCTGCAATATTCCCATGTTAAGAATTTTCCAGACAGTAAAACAGCGATATCTTCCCCACTGTTAATCAGTTAATGGTTTTAACGGTTTTAATCAGACATGCTACAATATTAATAGAGAGTCTTTTTAATTTAGGTCTACAGTACCTTTAAGTATTAGAATCTGTATGTTATCAAGCTAGCTAGAGGAAATTGTCCTATTTTGCCTAATTATTTAGGCTCGTTCAATTGTTTTTTCTGAATTCGGTTTACACAGCATAAATATATTTAAAATGACTATAAATTCACTTTTTATTGTTTGAGATAGACAAATTTTTTTAATGCATTTTTATGCATATTAGTAAACGTCCACATTACAGAGTATTAATTTTCAAGTACAGCTCTTCGTAAAATATAATTTTGCCAGCACAGAAATTAAAATTTTGACGTCAGAGAATTAGCTGCGGATAATGAAAGGTTAAAGATGGCTGTGCATCAAACAAACATTTATCTTCTGGTATTATTATTATTATTTTTGTATTATTATTATTATTATTATTATTATTATTATTATTATTATTATTATTATTATAATTATGATTATTATTATTATTATGATTATGATTATTATTATTATTATCATTATCATTATCATTATTAATATTATGATCATGATTATGATTATGATTATTTCGCTTACAATATTATATTTACAATACTTGTAATATTATAAACACTTTTGGCAATTTTATAACAATTTAGAACTGAAAATACAGGGTGTGCCACAAAACATGACAGTTGAGAGACGAGTTAAAGATCGTCTTTTATCTTTGAATTACTTTGTGGCATTCGTTGACCTAATTTTACAAATAAAATTCCTGAAACAATTATCACAAAGTACCCTTAGTACTGGCACTTTTAAAATGTGGTTTGCCTTTTTTCTGCTTTCAAAATTACCGGAGTCTTAAATGGGTTTTCTTTGATAAATTAAAATTGATCTAAATTCTTAATATCTCCGGTAATTTTAAAATATAATAAAAAGACCGACTACATTTTGGAAATGCGGGTACTGACTTTCGTCATCTCTTAAGTATTATGCGTAGTGACTGACATCCTGTATTTAGAACAACAACAAAAATAAAAAATTTTAGAAAGAAAAGGCTGTTATCTCGTATTGGATTGGAAAGCTAAATGTTTCTCCTCTAGAGGTAACTAAGTAATTCCAGTAGTTTTATATCTACTTTAAATATTCCCTTTCTGGTAGAGAGTTTATACATTAACAAAAATAGATCAAATAATAGAGTAAAATAAATTTTTGAAAATAAAAAAATTGAACATCTACTAAAATTAAGTCTTAAGATGGGAAAATAAAATATGATAAAAACAAGAAAAACCCGTTAATCCCTATAGACCTTGAAGAAAGAGGCAAAGTGTGCTACTTTTGCATCATTCAAATTTTCCTTATTTGATCTAGCAGAAGTCGTAGTTTTAAATATCAAAGGTCTTACAGCATCAGGTTGCAAAGATATATGAAGGATAAAATTAGATTTTGAAACAAGTTGTTAATACCTATGTTATCTCCATTGGAAAAGTTTGATACAAGAGATTATAACAAAAAGAAAAACTCTCTCCCGCCCGTACTTGAAAAAAGATGCGAAATATTTGATCCATTTGTTATCTAGTTTATTCTCTGTATCTGTGTATAATCTGATAAAATATTGATCTCCATCTTATTCTAATCTACACATTAATTTATTTCCTCTTTGATATCCGGTGATGGTCGTCATACCCCATGCAAAAATAACTTTAATTGAGAAATTGAGAATTAAACTACCACATCGGATATCTAGATCACGCGTTCAGGATTAACAATATCCATACAAAAGTTTGGTCTCTACACTGGTGCGACTATTATGCTCATTGCTCAGTATCGTCTGGTATTTTGTTTTAAGGCTGTATAGTCTCCGTTTTATATGGGTATAATGTTAAACTCAATATTTTCGTTTTCTTGGGTTGGACGGGTACGTTTTAGGTATCGTCTGGTCTATTTATAAAGGGGCCGTTCACTTATTTGGGTAATTTCCGGGTAAACTAAACAGCCTATTCGCTGTTGATTGGTAATAGTCTTACTTTTCAAAGACAACGATTAGATACTAAAGTTTAGTTTTGTATTCGAAATTTATTTTGATCCACAACATACTGAAAAAAAAACATTAAATAATGTCTATAGAGAGGGACCGTCCCTGTCCGCTCAAATTCTGAACGAAAAATCGGCTTTTTCTCCGCCCACAGTTGTCTTTGAAAAGAAAGACTAACACCAATCAACAGCGAATAGGCTGTTTAGTTTACCCTGAAATTACCCAAATAAGTGAACGGTCCCTTTAAAAGCCTATTATTACTTTTAAATATACACTAAAGTCTGTATGATTAAACGTGTTTTGTGCCTTAAAGGGACCGTTCACTTATTTGGGTAATTTCAGGGTAAACTAAACAGCCTATTCGCTGTTGATTGGTAATAATCTTACTTATTAAAGACAACCGTGGCCGGAGAAAAAGCCGATTTTTCGTTCAGAATTCGAGCGCAAAGGGACGGTCCCTCTCTATAGACACTAATTGATGTTTTTTTCAGTAACAGCAGCCCAATAACATTTAAATTTATTATATTCTAATGTCATTATGTGTTCGTTAATTGTAAATGTCATTATTTTGTAATTTTTTTTGTTTTTTAACTTTCTATTTCTAAAATAACACTATTTTATTGCATTCAAAATTGGTATTGCCTGTGTAAAAAGCTGAATTGAACGCGGCATGACAAATGAAAAGTTGTGCACATACGGGAACAAAATCTACAAAATCTGCGAACCAAAATACGAGAAATGATTAACTGATTGTAGTAGAGACGTCGTCTTTGAATACACATTTTACATGTTTTAATACGAAAAACGTAAATTTCTTTCTAATTCAAATATCAAAAGTTTTCATATTTTAGTACATAATAACGAACACATAATGACATCAAAATATAATAAATTTAAATGTTATTGGGCTGCTGTTAGTAAAAAAACATCAATTAGTGTCTATAGAGAGGGACCGTCCCTTTCTGCTCAAATTCTGAACGAAAAATAGGCTTTTTCTCTGGCCCCAGTTGTCTTTAAAAATCAAGACTATTACCAATCAAAAGCGAATAGGCTGTTTAGTTTACCCTGAAATTACCCAAATAAGTGAACGGTCCCTTTAAGTTTGTTGTGTGCTCTATTCTGCACTTAGGACTTTATTTAATGTACATATTGGATGCACATTGGTTGGAATACCTAAGCCCCAAGTTTCCTGAAAAAAATCTGTGCCTATACATTTTTCGGGTTGTGTAATATATATAAAAAATAATCAGTATTTTGTTATACAATGTTTACTGTGCAGGACAGTCTGTGATTCAAGCCATACCAAATTCTAGTATGTTGTTCTAAATATTCTGTTGGTGTACTGATGGCTGACACTTATTTCATTTCTTTGAAATATTCGGAGAAAAAAAGTCTGCAGAATTTTAACATATTTTAAACATTAGTTTGTTTCATTGCTTGAGAAGACCCGATTCTAATTTCAATATTTTACTATTGTATTTATAAAAGAGATATTTCCCCTCCTTTACTTCACTTCTAAGCATTCCAAAGGACATGAATGGAAAGTATTAAACAGTATAACCGGTTATAGGGGGAATCGGTTCTATTATTAAGATAATATGCTTTCTAATAAAAAATAGATCCAATAAAAAAATTTTCCTTTGTAAATTTTTTCCACAAATAAAAGGAATAATATTTTTCGCTCATTGTGCTAATCCCTGCTACAGGGGGTATAATAAATGTAGTTGGAATATCGCCAAGTTTACATTTAGACAACGTTCAGTACTATTCACTAGCCTAGGCCCGGCATGTGGCCGTTCAAAGGAAAAAAGTCGGAAAAGCCGGAGAAAGATGACAAATCTAAAAATGATGTGAAAAATAATAACAAAGAAAAGAGGAAAGAAAAAGAGAAAAAGGAAAGATTGACAAATGAAACAAAGTTAATGGTCAAATGAATTCACAAAGCATTTGAAACTCAGACCGGATATCTTTTCATATGTTTTGAGGATTACGTCAAAATGTTGATATTTAGTGTCTACTTTCTAACATGTATTTGATGTTTGGTCTCCTTAATATTGGGAAGAGTGGGGTGAGGGGTTGGGGGTCATCTGCAGTTTTATTAATCGTGTCAAGATTTTAATTTATACCTTATTCTAAAACACTGGTGAAAATTGATAAAACAAGATTTTAATTTCAATTTTTCAATTTTGCGCTATACATGTACAATGAACACTCTTTGAACGGAAACGTGAATAAAGAAAAGTTATCTTCGAAGTCTTTGTAAACCTTTGATATTTGAAACTCAGATTATTTGATTTAACAAAATTCATAGTTTGAAATATCAAAGGTCTGCAACATTTGGTTCCAAAAAATATAGTAATTGTAAAATCAGAGTTTGTTTCAAGAACTCAATTCCTTTTCTAATTTTGTATCAAATGCTTATTGTCAGCATTTCTATTTCTAGTAATCCTAACCTGCCTGCAAGGTTGCCCATGGATCGATAAATAAAGGATAAAGAAAAGGGATTGAAGAAATATAATAGATTCAGATGGTTCTGCAGAAACTGCATCAATTGCATAAATTGCAAACATGTTTAAATTATGGTTTGCACAACATTTAGAGAAACTTTAAACATACAACCCTCTAGAATACATTTTACTAATTTGGAAGTCTATTTACCGAAAATTCTTTAAAGAGCAAATCTTAAGTTTGAGGCAGACCCAGTTTAGAGTATTTCTGTTTAGCCCTGTAAGATGAGAATTTGTAAAGTTTGTTTGGAAAATATCCTCAAGAGATGGAACATCATAAAAATCCAATCTTCACAAACTTTATTAATGGCACACAGTTTCTGCACAACATATTTTATTTATTTATATACAGCTACAGAGTTTCTGAAATATTATTTATATAATTTCCGATTTGAGATGATATTTTTCATAACAGTAGATATCTTAGGTTCTGGATTTGTAAATATTCAACAATTTTATAAAAAAAACTAATATGCGAATTGGTTAAAATTTTATTAAAAACTATCTTGGATCTTGAAATGATAGTTTCGATTTCACTCCATATTTCATTTTTAATTGTTGATTTAGGTCTTGCTCTTTGTAAAGCATTAATCTGGTTAGCAATTTAATGGAGTCTTGATCTGATTCCACTTTTTATAGAACCTTGCTCTGGGTTCACCATTAATTTAGTCTTCTTCCGGTTTCCCTTTTTATAAGCCTTGATCCGTTTCCGTTTTTCTAAAAACTTTGTTAATTTCAGTTCGGCATCATGAAAAAACGCATAATATATTCAAAAATTATCAATGATCTGAATGATTTGTTTGGAATTGAATTGATTTTTTACGATCCGAGTTGAATATTGCAACTTTCTGAATTTGTAATGGTCTCTGCGTTCTTCGGAATGAGTCGTTTTTAAAATATTTTCTCCTTATAGATAGAATTAAGATTAGTAGCAATCACTATAAAATATTTTTCGACGTATGCTTATACCTCCTTTCATCTTTCGCTATACTTCCTTTCATTTTTCGCTATACCTCCTTTTACTTTTCGCGAACACTCCTTTTAAGTTGAATAATACAAAGCTGATATTAGGTTGCTGTGTGTTGAAAGATATTTATATAATTTAGTCAGATCAACTTTAGGTTTAGTTGGTGGTGCATTAATATTCTTGGAGATATGTGCATATATTTGCGGGACATCGTATTTTATCATTTCAAAGTTTGAATGTAAAATCTCAAACTTAGAATTTAGAAACTTTCAAATTATTCTGAGGATTCGGTTAGATGTAATTAGGAATGATTTGGATACAATTTAAAACCACATACTTAGGATTCATCCCGACACTTGAAAGGAATTTTGGAATCCATCTTCTCATAATTCCAAAAGAAGAAAAAAAGAACAAATTTGTTGCTTTTTATATCTTGAAATTAGTTGAGCCACCTTCAGAATTTTTGACAATGTACAATTCTCAGAGTCATAACTAAAGATTATTTCTTTAGCATTGACATCTTTGAAATTTTTTTATGAGGGAATAGAATTTAAATTTGGTAATTTAGGTCAATTAAGATTTTGTTCTTAATTTGGGATTTTTATTTTCTATTAGTCAGGAGAAAACAATAAATATGATTTTAGTTCTATTTTGATGCAAAGTATTTCTAATATTCCTGGCTACGTGTAGTGTATCTGTGCTAATTTGTTCATCTTGCTATCAGGGTGAGAAGACAAAGGATTCTAAGAGTGGAGCTGATTCTAATATATCCGTCCAGAACCTTTCAAGTCAGCTCGATGTAGCAGAGGAGGCTCAGGTTCAACTTTCACAGGTACAGCTAGAATACCAGGGAGTGAATTTAATCAATTTCAGCTGCTTCGCTGAACTACCTACTGCCGGTTCAAACGTGAACCACCGATTTAGAATTAAAGATTCAAGAAGGATTTGAATCGCTGATTCAAATTTGAGCCGACGGTTGGTAGTTAAAACTCATTAAATTCGGTCTCAGGGCCTTTAAGATAAAAACAAATTAAATCAAATATAAATTCTCAAAAAGTTTGCAAGCTTTCACTTATTTCATCTTCATAACTGACCAGACAAGTAAAAGTTGTTTATTTTGACTCCTTGTTGATTAGGATTATACCGAATATTGAGTTAGAAAAAACTTGTCGAAGTCAAATAATGAATGAATTGTTGTACTCTAGGATCTACAGCGAGTAACAGCTGAGAAACTAGAACTTGTAAACCATGTCTCCAGTCTCCAGCTTCAGCTGGAGCATAGTAGACTGGAGAAACAGCATGGATTGGAAGAACTTGATCGCCTCCAGCAAGAGAAATGGGAACTGTCAGCTGTCAACACTGATCTTCAACAGCGTCTTCAACAGACAGTTGCTCTTGCACATATGCAGGTTCATGTTAGCAAAATTTTGATTGCGAAATTTCTTAGGATTTTACAAACGTTTAGTGTAAACAATCATAAATCATAAATTACATACAAAGGCCTGTAAAGGAGCTGAGTTTTTACCACAACTCTGAATTTGTAATCCCTATATTTGTGCAACCCGATGTCGTAGACCTCAAATAGTCTAGGGTTGACATATCATAACATCATATTTGAAAATTTTAAGTTGTGTCAAGTTGTGTCTTTGGAGATTTTATCCTTTTTTGTATTCATTTAACTTAAAGATTTATACTCCCAGCCAGTATATCATGGTTTGTTGATTTGTTCATTCCTTTTTTGCATTAAAAAAACATCCCAAATGAAAATAAAACCCATATCGTAATATATTGTTCAGAACTGTTTGTGTCGTAAAATGCAAAGCAATTGAGTCTTTTCCACAAGCTATGATTTTCTTACCACTTTATCCAATGTCGTAAACTTTGATATTTCAAACTATGAATTACGTTAGACCAATAAATCTAGATTTAAAATATCAAAGGTTTACACCATCAGGTTGCAAAGGCATTGGGATTAGAAAGTTTGAGTTTTTGGCAAATACTCAATTCCTTAACATGAGCGATAAAAACCAGAATTTAATTGAACCCTGAACTTTTAGGTTTGTATTTCTAAAATTGAAGAAAGTGTATCATTAATAATTCAAACTTCCCTTAATGACATATCTTTTTCAAAACCTTATATTTTATTGTACGTAGAAGAGTTGAACAGAAACTAATACGATTCTAGAGGTTTATTACATGTTTAAAGTAACTAGAGCAGATGGGGTCATATTCCCCTTTTTGTAAATTGAATTGATCCTAGATATATTTAATAAATTAGGAGGCAGGTGTTCACCTTTAAGATATTCATTTAGCTATTAATATAATACACAACACACTCGATAGGTTAATGATAAGAAAGTAATTAAAACTTTTCAGTGCTTAGGATCCGGATCCAAGGGCAAAATATGAACCAAAAACTGCAAAAAAAAATATTTTGCTCTCAAAACTCGATCTGAACTGCTGAAAAAGGAGAAATGTCCTTATCTCTGAATGTTTTTTCAAGTTGTTGCATAAAGATAAGTGAAAAAGAAAGAAAAATAATTCAAAAATTCTTCTTCTGTTTAAAAAAAATCAGTAAATCTATAATAAATCTTCATGATTTGGATCTGGACCTGGATTAAGATCCGGGTCTATTTTTTTCAAGTGCGGATCCAGGATCCGGATCCGGGTCCGCATCAAAACCAAATGGATCTTTTAAACTTTTAAATTATTAATTTCTTGATATTTTTAAATAAAAAGTGGAAAAACTTAATGTTTTCAGGCAGAAGGGAAGGATACGCGACTACAGGAGGAGTTGGGAACTTTACTAGGTTTGATAGAATCGTTATTTTACAATAAAATACAGTAAAACATTTAAATTTATATGCAACAAAATAAATATATTGGTGCACTGAAATTAAGACTATCGAGACATTTTCAGATTGCTAAAATCTCGTTTCATAACATTAAAATAATACGGTGATATTGTTTGAACAATGCCTGCCGGAAACTTTTATAAAGAATTAATTTTTTGCGAATCCAAATAGTTTTATAGTTATGTAAACTAATTCCCTCTCCCATAACTCTTCCTAACTTTTGTTACAGCACAGAATACAAAATTCAATGGCAACCATGTTTGAATTTATTCTTGCTTCTCCAGATTTTACATTTTTGGTCTGTTTGGTTGTTTGTTAGAAAAGCAATTGAGTATTTGCCACAAACTCTAATTTTTTAATTCCTATATCTTTGCAATCCAATGTTGTAGAATTTACGTATTTCAATTCAATATTGAATTCAGTTGAATCGAATATTTTAAGTTTGAAATATTTAAGTTCGTGGCAAAGACTTAATTCCTCTGTAAATATTATTCAACCTCCCCCTTAACATCTAAAATATGAGGAATTGAAAATGTTTTGAAAAGAGAAAACAATGTTTAATCCAATTTGTATGGAATACGTTGAAAAACAGAAATATATATTTTTAGAGTTTTCAAACGACAAATTATTCCATACATTTATCAATTATCGGAGATCTAGTATTTGTGTCGAATCCAGGATCTTTATGATTCTATTCAAGTTTCAACTCACTTTTTTATTCCTTAAACCCTTTTTCTCTTCTCTCACCAAAATATTTGACGAGGGGAGGGGACAAAAGAGCAGTGCCCCTGGACTTTGAAAGCTGGGTGAACCACTGGCCAATTTAATCAATTTTAACTGAAGAATATAGAAAAAAAAGCATTGAATTCTGAGAAAGTAGAAATACAAGGTGTCCGGAAAACCTTGAATTTTGAGAAAGTAGAAATACACGGTGTCCGGAAAACCTTGAATTCTGAGAAAGTAGAAATACAAGGTGTCCGGAAAATCACCCTTTTAGGTACAAGAACTCGTAGCATGGTTCATCTTTATATTTATGGATAATTTCTAAATCTTTGTAACATTTCTGAACAATGGACATTATTTATAAGTCTGTAGTATTAAAAATTAAGATTTTTATGATAGTTCAAAGTTTGCCATTTTGGCTTAGTTGAAAATTTAGATCTAAATTAATTTGAAAATTATATGAAAAACCTATCTTTATGTTCAAATAAATATTTTAGAATGTAAGAATAGCATATCAAATGATTCCAGGCACCAAATGTATATATATCTCATGACATAAACGATTGCATATATTATGCATGTAAAACTATGCAACTATGCATCCCTATGCACTTATAAAATCCCAAATGTAGTACATTGTTCAAGATTCATTTCGCAGCTGTAGCTTTTATATCGAGTCTTTTGCAAATCTCCTCCACTGTATAAACTACAAACTAACCATAGAATTTTAGATCTTTTTCCTAATTTGAGGCCTTAATGAAAACACATGATATGTTTAAAAAACAAATATGAGAATTTTACGAACTCAATCTTAAGCCAAATTGGAAAACTTTAATCTGTGATAACTTTCTTGTTTTTTGGTTGCTGACCTTCAACTGACATCAGCTGACCTTCAACTGATGTCTAATGATCGAAAATGTCTCGTAACTTTCGAGATTGTTAAAGGAATTGAGTCTTTGCCACAAACTCAGAATTTCTAATCACTATATCTTTGCAACCCAATATTGAGAATTTTAGATATCTGCATGGGTCAAATAATCTAAGTTCCTTTGAACCACGGTAAAAGCTGTTCGGAAATACAGTTAAAATACACCCCCCCCCCCTGGTCATGAAGACTCCTGGGGGGGGGGGATAACAATTTTGTCCCCCCCTCTTACATTTATTTATGTTTACGACCTTGTTTCTAACCTTTTTCTGCATTTTCTCTTCTTTAGATTTAACAATAGCTACATCTAAACTTTAATTTGGCTTAAACCGCCTTCCAAACATAAATATAAATTTTGATTGAACTTATTGTTAACAGATTTATAAAACTTTAAAAACGTACTTTTTAAGAAACACAAATTTTAAAATTATGATGACAATTTTTTAAACCAACAAAGCATCAAAATTCAAGGAATTCAATGTAGCCCTCTTAATATTTTATCATGGTGAAAGCTCTGGTGTTAATGTTAAAAAAAAACTGATTGTCATTACTATTATTTAGTCCAGCTAGAAGAGGAAAGACAAGTGACCGCCAGGCTAAGTAAAAGCCTGGAACTTGAACGAAGGAAGGTTGAAAGTCTAGAGCAAAAATCAAAGGTAATGTTTAAAAAAAGAATCACTAATTTTTCAAGTTCTACAAGCCTTGATAAAAAGAACTAATTAGTTTAATTTATTAAATATCTGTGGGTTAGACCATTATATATCTGTATCTAATGTTTCCAAGTATGAAAGGTTCAAACTTTCCAGGGTTCCTCCGGGAAGAAGGACGGAGCTAGGAGAAGATCATCCCTTCTCCCTGAGGAAATAAGAGATAGTGAGACGCGACTTGTTGCAAGCATGGAGCTTTACAGGTCTTTGAACTCAATTTTCTAAACATGGTTTAGAAATCGTCAAACCATTATATGAATCTTTAAAGACGACATTACGGAATTCACACAGTCTGTTTATTTACATTCATGATTCCCTGCAACTGTAAACTTTTTTATTTCTTTGATAAATCATTCGATAAGCTATTAAAAGAATATATTCAAGACAGAAGACTTGATTTGACATTGTGATCGTCATATGCTTAGAGTTTCATGTCGTCTTTACAGATATATAGATATTTTTAACTTTCAAAGCTTTCATTTTCTTTGTAAAACAATAAATCATATTAAGAATTATACTTGTATGTACAAAATGATTTATTCAGAATTTCCTATATTTTTGTTTATATGCGCATATAAACAAAAATAAAGGAAAATATTGAACGAATTATTTTTAGACAGCGCTGTGATAATCTTGGCGTAAGCCTTGCGGGTTGTCAGCAACAGCTTGATCGAGACAGCTGGCAACCTGATCTAGCAACAGAGATAAATAAGCTGCGGAAGCTGCTAAGTGAGGAGAAAAGAAGCTGCTATGGAGAAGGTGCACGGTTAAATGAAGTTCATCAGCTCTTTGAACAGGTTTATTTTTAGAATTTTAAAATTATGAAACCTAATTAGAGGTTGCTTATGAGGTGGGATATCTCTCCAGGGAAAAAAATGGAAAGTCTCATTTGGAAAGGAATAGAATCTTTGCCATAAACTAAAATTGTTGAATCATTAAATCTGTGCAAACTGATGGTGTAAACCTTTGATATATCAAATTTAGTTTATTTAATTCAACATAATTCATAGCTTGAAATATCTAAGGTCTACGACATTGGGTTGCAAAGATATATAGATTAGAAGATTAGAGTGTGTGACAAAGAATCAATACCTGGAATACGACCCCACTCCCCCATCATTCAGTGTTATTAGTGTACAAAATATATATTTTAATATATGAGGCGGAATTTTTGTGTAAAAAAACTATTTTAAAGATTTTAATTGCCCTATTTAAATGGCTATGTTCTGAGCGGACCACTCGATTTTAAACCGAAGAGACCCAGCAAAGGGACTTTTCCGGGCAGACCGCCCATTGGTAAGTATCCTCCCGGGATAGTTTGGGGCGTTATCCATTTATAGACAGGTCCGACAGGAGCGCCAGTCCCAATTTTATTGACTGACGGGTTGTCTTTTAACAGATGTAATAATGATAATTAAGTATTTTTTATATGCTAAATTATAATTTTGTTTTTTCCAATAAAGATGATTTTTTTTCACTTAATCGAAAAAAAAATCCCAAATCCAAATGATTTTGTTCAGGTTTACCATGATTATACAAGTGTACTGGAGACCATGAAACAATCCCAGCAGGAAATAAAGAAAATAAAGGTAATTAAACGTGATCTTTTAAAACTATTTTCTATTTTCCTGATTTGTACGTTCGAGATTTCTTTAAAGGTGTGAGTTGAACATGCAATATTATTAATATGGCCGGGTAACTTAAAATTACGTCTACAGTTCCTTTAAACTGTTTTAGGGTCAATCTGTTCTCGAGAATATCAAGGAATCTAATATCAGGGATAACATGGATAGTCTTACCGCCAGGTTAGTCAAGAAATACCAGAAATAACATAGATAGTCTTACTGCCAGGGTAGTCAGAAATTATCAGGGATAACATGGGTAGTCTTACTGCCAGGTTAGTCAAGAAATATCAGGGATAAAATGAATAGTCTTACTGCCAGGTTAGTCGGGAAATATCAGGAATAACATTGATAGTCTTGCTGCCAGGGTAGTCAGGAAATATCAGGGATAACATGGATACTGGATAGTCTTACTGCCAGGTTAGTCAAGAAATATCAGGGATGACATTGAAAGTCTTACTTCCCGATACTTCAGGACATATCATGGATATTATGGATACATCAATAGCCTTACTGTCAGGTTAGTTAAGAAATATTAGGTTAACATGGATATTGGATTGTCATACTGCTTAGTTAGTCAGGAAATATTAGGTTAACGTGAATATTGGATTGTCCTACTGCTTAGTTAGTCAGGAAATATCAGTTTAACATGGATATTGGATGGTCATACTGCCAAGTTAGTCAGGAAATATCAGTTTAACATGGATATTGGATGGTCATACTGCCAGGTTAGTCAGGAAATATTAGGTTAACATGGATATTGGGTACGTGGTCATACTGCCAGGTTAGTCAGGAAATATAAGGTTAACATGGATATTGGGTACGTGGTCATACTGCTAGGTTAGTCAGAGCTGGGAACTTTTGAATGGTGGATATCGGGATTAATGCTTGATCCACTCTTTTTCTTAATCTCGAGATTAAATAATTCTTGTTCTCCTTATGTTATTAATCTCCAGATTAATTAACCGATCGGGATGAAAGATATTCCATTCTAAAGTTTTCAGCTCAGGAAATATTAGGTTAACATGGATATTGGGTCGTCACTGGTCATACTGCGAGGTTAGTCATGAAATATATGGAAAAATGGTAATGTTAGGTTTGTCTGGTAAAAAAAACTTCATTTACATCAAACTTTTTATAATATTTGAAACGAACTTCTATTCCTTTATCCTGAAACCAAAATACTTAATCCTTTCACTTAATCCTTTTTCCCATAGGTTGATGGATACAGAGGAAAGTCTTATTAGAGAGAAGGAAACTTGTAGAACCCTTCAGGTACTTGTAGAACCCTTCAGGTACTTGTAGAACCTTTCAGGTACTAGTAGAACCTTTCAGGTACTAGTAGAACCCTTAAGGTACTTGCATCACATAATATTTATTTCAGTCCTTAATATCAGGAACTTTTGATGGCTACGCAGAGTCCTGAACTTGATTCGTTCTTTTTGCATATTATTTGTCAACACTCAACAGGGTACATCTGGATATTACATAATCAAATGCAGGCCATCGTCATACTGGATCATCCTAATGCTTAAGATTTGGATTTTTAAAGGACATTTTTTGAAAGAGTTCTTTGAGTTTCGTTTACGCATTTTGGAATGAAAGCATGTAGGTTATCCAATATGTTCTGGGACGCCCTGTATAGGACATTATCAATTATAATGTATAAATTAGATATACATTCTTGGTTGAGAATATATCAGATTAATCAAATTAAGGAACTAAGAACTTCAGAAATAATCAAATCATCAATTTAGAAATAATAATTTGTAACATGACCTGAATGGAATTTAAATTTATTTAAGCATCGTTATAAACAGTTATTAAGGCTACCAATCACGTTGAGGTTTCACGAATTCACATTGTGTCATAAATATTTTCCAAAAGCAATATAAATTCTTGGGGACACCCTATGGACAATTCCCCCTTGATAATCCTTTTCTGTAGTTGTAAAGTATTAAATAGTTTGTGAAAGGAACCAGTGGAATGAGAAATTACTCAATTGTATCATCAGCTTTATCATTAAATTACTAACTATCTATCTATCTAATTTTACAAACATACATTTATCATACAGGTTTACCCAAATAGGATGAGACTCTAAAAAAGGTCTGAAATTCTTATAATTTCAGGATCCCATTGTTAAAATAGGTTTTCTCCTGTAAATGTAGTTTTTTTATGACTTACTTTATGATTTGGCTAAGAAAAAAACAAACAAAGGAATTGACTCTTTGCAACAAACTCTGATTTTCTAATCCCTATATCTTTGGATTCCAACGTCGTAAACCTTTGAAATTTCAAACTATGACTTTTGTTATAGATCAAAAAATATAAGTTTGAAATATCAAAGGTTTACGACATTGGGTTCCAAAGATATTGGGATTAGAAAATCAGAGTTTGTAGCAAAGAGTCAATTCCTTTACAGTTTCAGAGAATGATGAATATTATAAAGGAACAGACAGTACAAATCCCGTACAATCGTCTGTGAAGTCTCATCCTTTGTGGGTAACCCCGTACATTCAGACAAAATAAACATATTAGTAAAAAATAACATTATTATTTTGCTTCATTTTATTTAAATCTTAATATATATTTCTAATTAATGTCTCATTTAACGTATCTTCATATAATGCAAAAAAGTATTTGTCATGTTTTATCCATTTTACTTTGAATTATACTTTTAGGAAAGATTGGCTCAAGCTGAGTTGGAGGTTGAGTCTTTGCCTTTACTTCGTGCCCAGGTACAATATTTAATAGATTTATTCTTAAAGGGATTGTCCAATAAAAGGGTTACATGCCCGATTTACAACACCGGTACCTTTAAAACATTTTTTAAGTAGCAACAAATATATATCTTAATCTCAATTTTTTTCTTGTTTCTGCTGCATAACTTTGATGGTCACTTACTTGGAGAAACTGCAATTATAATCAATTTTAAGTTATAAAACAAAGATATTTCAGTCAATTTTGCTTAGATTAATGTTTTACGATTGCCGATTTGTAAATCGGAAATGTTTAAATTGAGACTCACTTGAAATTATGTCGGTATTAGTTTTAATTTTAATTATAGATTTTTTAACATTTTGAATTATCTATTTTAAAGTAGTAAATCTGTTTTCGGAGATAGTTTATGATTTAGATATATTTTTTATCTTAACTATACACGGATCTTAGCATTTACTTGATTATTGCATACTCAACCTGTCTCTGATCCCTTCGCAAAAAACGTAAATATTCGTGAGAAACACTGAATACAATCATTGAAAATAACAATTCCGTGAACGCTTCCTCCTGTCTTTTCGGAATTAAGCTACATAGCTTAACTCCGAGGATCAACAGGATGATGTTTAACTGATCAGAAACGAGTTTAATCCATTCCGCTCTTTCCAAAGTATCTGTCCAGGTTGAGGTATACCAGAGTGATTTTAACGCTGAGCGTGAAGCGCGTGAGCGTATAGCTGGTGAGAAAGCAGATTTATTGGATCAAATTAACAAGATGAGACAACAAACAGGAACTTGATAAAAAAGCATTACTTCAGTCTGAATTCTGATAAGTTTTTATTTTAGAATTTGTTCATCAAAGCGAATTTTCATAAACTTTAAAAGAGGGTAGTGGACAATTCATATTGAAATGAGATTACTGAATAAAAAGAATGTACAAAATCCAGAAAAAGTCTTTGTTTTCTCTGGTAGATCAGCCTAACTAGCCGGCAAAGAATTAACGGGATTGTTTAAAAATAATTCATAAAACAAACTTTTCGATTAAAATAAAATTAATACTTTATAAATTTACATCCCATTACTAATTTACTATATTCCATTTAAAAATATTTCTTTGTAATTAAAAGGACTGTGATATTAATTTAATTTGACCCTATATTGCTAGAGTGGGATTTTTGATTCACAACGATACCCTTGAAGCTCACCTGATCAAACATGAATTAGATAATTCATGTTTTTGTTTTTTTATGTTTCAAGGATACCTTTCTGAGTCGAGCATGCCGTAATTTTTAAAATTACATCGACAACCTTTTTAACATGAATATTTCTGGAATAATGCCTGGGTCTAGATGCAGGAGGATTAGAACCTATCCCAGTACAACAGAGAACAAATGTTTCACAACTTGGTATAAGGACAGAAGGACATCAGACTAGAAATACAAGACCTGAAGGACAGCCCAGATTAGAAGGGGAACTGGTTGGGATTGTACGGGACCGGTTTAACCAGTTTGCAGACAAAGAAGATGACCGGTTACCCTTGCCAGTCCGGCAACATAACTTGAGGTACAGTATTGGTCAACTATACTTACGTTTCAGTTTAATTATTTTGTACAGTTCAATGATTGAATTCAATGAAGACACCGACCAAATCGTTAAATAACAGATATAATGATGTTTTTTTTGGTATTTAAAATAAATCCAATTGAAAAAAACTAAAAAGGTATATAACACCAAGTAATACCAACACCAGAAGCAAAATTAAATAAAAAAGAACTTTTTTTGATGCATTTTATACCTTAAATTTGAATTAATATATTCGAAAAATATATTTGTGAATATTAAGGAATACTAATGGTGAGGAGAGAACTATGGAGCTCAATTGTCCAAAGTGTGGAAGAGAATTCAGAAATACCACACTTCTTACTAGACATGTTAATGATTGTTTAGATAGAGACTACTAGTAACTTGTTCAACGTTTATCAAAGTTCTAAGAATATATATATATACTTTTAAACATACGGGACTCTTGCCGATTCAGACACGTTTGTGTCAATGTTTTTTGCAGAATTCATCCTGACAGTGAATACAAGAACTAATAATATTGTTTTGTGTTTATCACTTTCGTACTAAATTATCATTATCAAGCGAGACATTTACACAGAACATAATTTTAATTGACATCAATTACGATCAAATGCTGTTCTTACTGTGAACTAAAATACTCGAGTAGAACCATATTAGAGACCCGTAGCAAATATTTAAAGCCATTTCAGATAATATACATTTTATATACATTGGTTTGTATTTATAGCTTGGTGAAATAATGTTATATAAACATTAATATTTTCCTTTGATAGATAGTTAGTTCGTCCCTTATGTTTAGTCTAGTCATACAGGGTTACCCACAAAGGATGAGACTGTAAAGACGACCTGAATCTCTTAAAATTTGACGATTTCATGGTTAAATTAAGTCTTTTTATGGTTTATTCAATGTTTAGGCAAAAAAAAAAATTACGGTTTCAGGGAATCATACATATAAGGAAACAGATAGTATAAATTCTGTACAATCGTCTCTGAAGTATCATCCTTTGTGGGTAACCCTGTAGTAACTCATATAAGAACTTTTTTAAAATTTAATTTAAGTTATTTTATTTAATCCTTATTCAGATTATTTTCCATTTTTATACTCAATGATTTAGGTCTTTTTTATTAATTTGAAATTTTGTTACAATGAAGCCAAATTTATTTGTTATGATTTTTAAAACATAAACAACAGTCATTATGTCAATTTATCTCTCGAAATATACGTTTATGTTAACTGTGTTTGTATATATATATATATATCTGGATATAATAATTTAAATTCTTTTGAAAGGGAAAGTTTTATAAAGAGTCTATTTCAGAACAAAAAATGTCTGCAATAAATTAACTGTCATTACCTATAATACGGCGTTTACATATTTTTAGCAAAAAATCCAAATATGTAGGTGTCAATTTAATAAACTTCAATCAACTGTAAGTGTTGTTTCAATTGACCCCCACGCAAAGAGAGAAGGTTCGATTTACAACGGTACCCTTAAAATGACGGCAGAAAACTCTATCTCTAAATTAATATTTTAATAACTGTAAATCCTAGAAAACCAAAATATCAACGCGGTTTTCAATTTTCAGCTTGCAAACAAAGTGTTATATAATGTAGCCATTCCGACGTCATCATTGGTCTGTCAAAGTTTACAAGATTTGTTGTTAATCGGACACACCCCACTCTTCAAATGGAGTTTACTTGTCTCTAGAATGCGTATCTTTCGACCTACGTAAATCCGCTAAACTCCACTTTTGACCTACGCCAAATTCGATATACTACACATCCGACCTACTAGAACGTGGTTTTACAGCTACAAGATGGACCGCAGCGCCTGGGCCCCTAGCCGTGGCGCCTGCCTCAGAAATTTTAATAACCTAACCCTCAAAAAATGCAAAAATAAACAGCGGGCGTAGACTTATATTGCAGTAGGTCAGAAGTTTAGTAGGGGGGATTTTGCGTATAGACGATGTAACATTACCTAAATTACATCTGATTACACTGCAACAAGTCCATTTGATTTTTTCACCTAAAATAAATGTGTTCTTACTATTTAGCGTACACGGGGGGGGGGAGGGGGCACAAGTCCTTTCCCCCCCCCCCAGGCGAATTTGCGAAAGGCACAAGGACTGGTTATTCAATTTTTAAAAACCTGATTTTATAAAACAATACATATTTAAAGTTGTTTTAACTTTAACAAAATACATAAGAATTTCAACAATAACTGCTTAAATTATTTATTGAAGCTTTATTAAAGTGACTGTAAGCGTAATTTCAAGTTACCCTGCAATGCCCGATTTACAACGATACGTTTGAAACCTTTATCATTTCAAAAATGTGGAAGATACCGTCGTTTCTCTGACTCGAAATGTGTTTATATCTTGAGAGCAAGAATTGGGCAAGTCACTTACGCAGCGAAACCGCAAATGAAAATAAACAGTCTAAAGAAACAAAATCATGGTCCATGGATATCTAATTTATACTTGATCAAACAGCTTTTAAGGGTACCTTAGTCAATCGGACATTGACATCTTTGCATGGAGAATCAATTGAAATTACAGTCTCCTGCGTTGTGACATTTCATAGAAAGACATTTCATAGAGAGGACATTTAATAAACGGACAATTCATAGATAGGACATTTTATAGATAATACATTTCATAGACAGATGAGATTTTTACCTACGAAATTGTTTTTGGATTTTTAAAATTTTAATTTTTGAAAACATTACATATGAAGAGTATTTTATTTTGTTAATAAGAACTTATTTCATCTGTGAGAACCTTTCTGTCTATTTAAAAGTTTTTAGTTTTAAGTTACTCAAAGTTATTCCCGCCGTTTACCCGCGTCGCCCATTGAAATAAAAAAAGAATTTAAAAAATTGATATTTAAGAAAAAATTTAGAAAAAAATATCATTTAAAAAAAATCTTTTCTGTCTATGAAATGTCACAACGCCCTACAGTCCCTTTAATTAATGTTAACGAATGTGTCACAGACATCCTTTTTTTCAAGGTAATCTTCCCCCCCCCCCTCCTCTTGGGCTTTTAATACAGTGTCTCATCCGGGATACTCTTTCAGCTGATAAATGTTCATCTGTATACTAAATACAACTATGAACTGATTTATTTATCAATTACAAATATTTGTTGAAAGTTTTATACTGAGTCTTGAGAGCTCTGAACATATGATAAGTAGCTCTGAAGCGTGTTTATCTTGATACTATGATCCAAGCCTGGTTAGAATTTCTAAATTCCAACTGGTTTGATCAGTCAACATTCAGCATTATTCTTAATTCAGTTATAGGCTGCGGACAGCAGAGTACTCCTAAACTGCACCTGTTGTTAATCCGTAGGTTATTTTTTTTAATCTCCTGGTTTATGTTTTCTGTTTATAAACTGGAGCTGTTTTACAAAAAAAATCGTGTTAAACGACCTTTTTACTGTGATGATTGGGTTTATTTTTCAAGACGATTTGTTTATTTGCAGTTCAAGTAGTTCAAGTCAATATTTCAATTTGAGATTTTTTGATTTAAGAGGAAACAAATGATTGACAACACATCTCGTTTAAGAACATTTTTCTTGCTCTTAATGTCATTTTTCAGATTTAATATGGCCGTAGTTGATCCTGCAACTGAGGAACTTTATATGCCGAGCAGGTTAAACATTTCTATTTGATATTGGAAAAAACTTGGACTAATTCTTCATCAAAGAATGGGGAAAAGGGCAGAACACATTTATGAAACCCCAAAGGTACTGAAGCACTGGGTAGAAATGGAATGCTTTGAAATCAAATGCCTTGCCCTTAATTCATCAGTTCATTCTCATTTTATTTAATAATCCATCTTCATTTTGATACAGTGAAAACATGAAAAAACCGATGGAAAAGAAGACGACTTTTAGACTCAAGTTATGACTTGAAATAGTCTGATGAACATGAAACACAGTGTAAACAGACCCATTTCCCTAATTAAGTGATTTAAAAAGTTACTATAACACTAAATACACTGAAGTTTTTCTTTAATATCATCTTTCTTTTCCATAATTTTCTGGTTCTCATTGTATTATTATCAGATGGGTGAAACGAGTAAGAAGTGAGGAAGTTTGCACCCTTCACGTTCAAGTAACAAGTGAACTGAGTAGAAAATCTCGAAATATGCCTCAAGCTCGCTTAGGGGTCAGCACTGGTCCAGGTAAACAAAGTACATACAGAGTCTTCCAGAACACGAGTCATAATCCAAATCCACATACAGTCGTCGCCGTATATATCAATACAATAAAGACGACTTTCGATTTCAATTTTGATTTCTACCAAGCTTTCAAATAGCATAAACATGGAAACAAAAAGAAACTGTCAATTTTTTAATTCTTTTTTTGTAATTAAAAAAACCTTGTTAGAAATTAAAACTTAATTCGAAAAGTCGTCTTCATTGTATTGATATAAACCGAAATGCCGATCACTGTATGTAGTTTAAAGTTGGAGATAATAATTTATTTGACCATTTCTTAATTTCCTTAAAATATGTGATCGTGAATTAGTTTCTGAGTCCAATGAACATCTTTAAAAATTCATGTTGTAAAGAAGACTAGTGTAAATTAAAGTAAGATACATTTATAAAATGAGAGTTAATCAATTATATACATGCTGTGAATTCAGATTCAAGTGATGTTGTGGATATATTTAATGAAGCTGGAATTAGTAGTAGTATTGTGGTGTATGTATCAGGAGGATACTGGTTGGTTAGTATTAAATTTTAATAATTTTGAAGTATAAAAATATCGAAATATGTTTCACTTTGAATTAAATGGAACTTTAGTGGTTTTTAGTTATAATCGTCTATTTTCTTAGTTTTATTTACTTAAACAAATTAAAACTTTTGAATTATAAAGGATTTAAGTGGGGATATATCTGCGTACACTGTACAACCATTGGTAGCTCACGGACATACAGTAGTAGTTGTACACTATGATAGGGCTCCTACACAAACATTCACACAAATAATGCAACAGGTAAAATATTTTTGGAAACATAATTTAGGCAAACTTTCTTATTAGCAAACGTTAAAATAATTGTTCTTTTTTAATTTATAAACGTTTTCAGCAACGCTAATATCTTAGTTAGAAGTTAGTATCTTACTTCTTTAAGGTGAATAGGAGCATAGAGTGGATAGTTGAATATGCTCAGAGAACTAAGAAGAAAATTTGGCTGTCAGGTAGATCCTGTAAATATTCAACAAAAGTTGTATGTTTTCAATTTTCTCCTAGGTGATATTTGTACACTTTGAACTCCCTTTCAGGCTGAAAGGGACTGAAAAATTTCATACCGAGAGATTCTTTTAATTCCTCTGGATATATTCTATTCTCTATGCAAAGAACCTTTCAAGTTATAAAAACAGATGAAGGAACTATCGCTGCAAGTTGTTTGGAAACTCAGCAGTTGTTGTACAAATATGTAGAGGATTGAGAGTATAAATGATAGATGAAGCTAATATTTAATTCAGGAATATTTGATCTGGTTCCTATACTTTCCACCTCAGTTAATACAGTGCTCAAGCTAACTAACGGTAATTATTAAGAAACAATTCATCTATAGGAATAAAATCTAGATGAAAAGAAACATAGTGAAACAAAGTTTGACGATTTAAATCAAATTTTAGCTTTTTTTTAAGAGGACGCCGAGCTGTTTAGTCCAATATCCAAGGAGAATCTAAAGAGGTATATCTTCTTTATAATAAAGCTCTTCCGCTCTTATATGTATATATTTATATGTCAGCTATAGCTGGCTAAACGGCTGGACCAAATTGGTTGAACTTTTCTGAGGGAACATATGGGTTCCCTTGGGGTAACATAGGTTGAACAAATTCTTTAAAATTTTATGACTTTTTTTCTTCAAAATATTTTTTTTAATTCCACGGGCAACGCCAGGCACTTCAGCTAGTATATCTTATATCTCCAATTACTTGACTTGTCTGTTGGTTTGTTTCTATCCAATGAACGGCAAAACGGTTAAACCGATCGGGTCCAATTTTTTCATTAAAATTCACATGATCCCAGGTAAGGTTTTACAAAAATTAGAATAAAAGTCTAGAAATCTAATAAATAAAAACAAACAAAGATTGCCATATTTTTTATTTTATTTTAAAACTAGCTGAAGTGCCCAGCGTTGCCCGTTGAATTTAAAAAAAAACTGAAAAAAAGTTTTGAAATTTGAAAAAAAAAATTTGAATTAGAAAAAAAATTGACAGACTAAGTTAACCCACAGAGCACCCATTCGGTCCAGCCGTTTAGCAAGCTTTAGCTGACATATTATATATATATGAGCGAAGTACTTTATTATATAGAAGATGAGCGAAGACCTTTATTATATGGATGTACGAAAAAGAAAAGACTGCATAATGACTTATTATAATGTAAAAAGAAATAAATTAATATCACTATGTTAGAATCTGCAAACTGGAACTAAAACACGAGTTTGTACTCGGGGAACATGATAGTCCAGCTTTCCATACTCAAGCAGAACAGTACAGGTACAGACATTGTGAGTACTGTGTACAGTATACAGTATATACAGTTCAACTTTACAATTTAGAAGAATCGAAATCTTTGTTTTAAAATACAAAAATAAAGATATGCAGTTGTCAAAATAAAGTGTTCTATTTGAATTCGAGTACAGTTAACAGTGACAGATTGTTTAAAGGAAACGTTCTTTTAGGTACGAGCGCTTCATTAAAGTTTGATTTTACATTTTTGAAATTTACGCAAAAGTTTACATTTCCAATCGGTTGACGCCAATAAGAGGTTGTAGCACTAAAATTGAGGAAGTTATGACAGTTTGAAGTTTGCCATTTGGCATGGTCGAGTTCGAAATGATATATGTGATTTCAAAATTTGTTGGAAAATTTCAAATCCTAGTTTTACACTAAAAATCAAGATTAAATAAATGCAAAGTTACACAAGTAAGGACATGTACGTCTACAGTTGAATGTGGACAGGCAGGGGCGTACGAGGGGGGGCATTCTCATCATTTGAGGTAACCCTGTATTAGAACCCCACCATTAAGAAATATGATTACCAGGGGCGTACGAGGGGGCACTCATGGGGGGGGGCTCTTTTAATATTACATCTGCTTGCATTTCCCTTCCTCAGGCAATCTACATTCTAAATTGCATTGTACTCACCCAAACTAAAAGATTAAGAAAAGAAATAAAATATGTTCTGATTCACAACAATACCCTTCACAGCTTTGTCTGATCAAGTATTGCATTAAACATCCATGTTTCCCATTTTGAAAACTAAATATTTTTATTTGTGGTTTCTCTACAAAAGTGACTCGCGCATTTCTTGCTTCAGAAACGATGGAGAAATGAAGGTTTCAAAGGTACATCGGACATGCCACTCTGTAAATGGAGGGTCACGTGAAATTACGCATGTATTTCATTTAAGTATAATTACATCATATAGAAAAAAAATACTTTAAAATCTCACTTTTGTCCTTAACTAAAAAAGTTTCATTAAAAAGCTTTAATCAATACTGCCTTCGTGTAAATATATATTTAATATCATAATTTATTATACAATATATATCAATCCAATGGAAATATAGATAATTTTTTAGAAACATTTCCATCTATATTTTTCATCCCTTGAAGCTTACACCACAGTATTAAGAGGGATTGCCTGATTTTGTGCCCCAACCTTGGGAAAATTTTCTTAAGAGGTGGGGGAGGGCCCCCACCTCTTAAGAAAATTACATGAATAATTTATTTATAGCGCTTGTAATATATGAAGTGAGTATATGATCGAATAGTTTACATAGTTAAAAAAGGTATCAATATTTTTTCAAAAAAGGGGTTTTTAAGGGGGGCACACAATTTTTGTTGTGCCCCCCGAAACAAAGGCTCTCGTACGCCCCTGTGGATAGGCACAGTGAAATTCATTTAAATCAATGTTTTAGAATTCCTACCTATAGAAAATGTTACAAAATTTTTTTAAATGTCCTAAAATGTAAAAATTTAAGTTCGAACTTTTATTTAAGCTTCAGTAACTTGAAGCGCTGTTTTTGGGAACACGTCCTACATGTTTCTAAAGTTTTTGTAATCAATCTCTACCAATTATTTCTTTGTGTATCAGTCATTATTTTATGATAATTATAATTTTCTAACTATGCAGGTTGAAGCTTGAGGAGAATGGTTGTAAAGTTGGATTTAAAGTTCTTAAAGGATTAGATCATTTCTCATTGGTAGAAGATCTGGCTGAAGAAGATTCTGAGTCAACACAACATTTCTTCACCTTATTAAATAAATAAAGAAAAGCATGTAATAGTATTATTAGATATACATATTTCAGACATATATTAAGAAATAGATAAAAGTCATACCAATTCAGAAACTCAAGAGCTCAGATTTAAATACTACTCATTGCCTGGTCAGATATCGAAACTGCATATTAACCATCCTGGGGGGTGGGTATGCAGTTAATCGAATGAGCAATACAAGACAGCTCCAGAAAACAAGAAGATTATCTGCATTCTGCATTAAATACATGTATCAATAAATTTGTTTCATAAAAAGTCTTGGGGAAAAAGAAGAAAAAAAATTATTTCAATTTCAATAAAATTAAGAAAATTTCTTTGCAAATCCAAAGAACCTGGAGAAATCAATATCTTGCAAAAGAAGCTTGCATGGTTTTTAAAACAAATATATAATAATTTTTGAGCTTGAGATACAAAGAAAGTAGACAACATTTTGGAAAGCTCATTGGACTTGTATTCTATTTTTAATGCACTTTATGTCAATTATCGGAAATCAAAGACGATATTCAAATCGTCTCTCAATTCCCATGTTTATTGGGACACTCTGTAGATCAAATAGATTGTCTTAATTGTACTTGACAATCTATTTGATGTATGTATATATATATATATTGTGCAAACTATTGTAATAACAATAAATATCTATCGTTGTTGACCCTAACCTTGTAAATATATATTCTCATATTTGAATGCGCTGACCGCTTCGCCGGTCCGAGCAGTATTATTATTCTTGAAAATAAATACTAGTTGAGTGCAAACCCTTGTCTTATTACGGACTGGAAGAGAGTATAGAGTTAGTTATGCATTTTGTGTACTTAAAGTTTATCCGGCTGAGGTTGTTACAATATTTTTACGTATTTATTATTAATAAATATTTCGCACACGATAGCAAGGTATCAATGATATTTTTGTACAATTTTCCCGTTTATTGCCAAATCTAACTTTTTTTAAAGATTATGGGGAAGTTACCAGAGGTTAAAATACAAATAATATAATATTATTATCATACAATAACATAATATTTTTCTATTTTAAATATTATACTTTTTGGGGAACGGAACAACTTTTGTTTACGGAAACATTGAAAAGGTCGGGTTTTAAGTCATTAAAGGAAATATCATCTAAATAATAATATTACGTAATGTTTATTATCTGTTTGGAGCCAGGCCAAGTGTTCTGTATATGAAGGGGGGGTAGGAGGAGGGGGAGGGGTCGATATTAGTCAGCTGATCAGTGTATACAGTCAACAGACAAGACTCCCTGGAAACAACTTTAACTCGTGAAATATGGAAGAAATCAGTCAATTGTCCGAAGGAAATAAAAAAGTTGTTGATGAAAAGAAGTTAATAGATAATAAAGATATGAGTGCCCACACTGATTTAACAATAGGAGACATAAAAATACAAGGTAACGATAAACTTTAGTGTTTTACGTTAGATAAATGTGAGCAATTTCGTAAAAAATAAGGTCTTGTAGATTTTATTGCTTCACTTGGAAGGTTAAAAGCGTAGAATAAGTGTGAAGAGTGTTTTTCTTTCATAAATCTATATAAAACCTTGGTTTGAAAAAAGGAGATGGTGCTTGCTGCTGAATAGAGCGGATTTTCTTTGGTCTGACTGTTAAAAAATATCTCTCTTGCATTTTCCAAAATGTATATTTAATAGTTAAATAGTTAAACATAAAGTTTCTCAGGAGAGCTGTGAGCCCAGGGGCGGATATAAGGATTCTGTAGGGGGGGGTAAAAATACCCTTCACAGCTTTGTCTGATCAAGTATTGCATTAAACATCCATGTTTCCCATTTTGAAAACTGAATATTTTTATTTGTGGTTTCTCTACAAAAGTGACTCGCGCATTTCTTGCTTCAGAAACGATGGAGAAATGAAGGTTTCAAAGGTACATCGGACATGACACTCT